GGACACCCTGCTTCATCTTGGTCAGGTAGGTGGATAGTTTTCGACAATGCCCGTCCTCCGTGCCTGAGCCTCCGTAGCGGCTGCTCGCGTGTAGCCAGTATCTAGTTGACATTCTGACTGAAGTCCTGCAGCAAGGTCTCTGGGATGTCGATGGCGGGGTTCCCCATGAGCTGGGCGACGTCGAACTCCCAGGTGTCCTGTCCGTTGATTCCGACACGCCCTGGTGGGAGAGACCTTTCGCGTGGCCGCTTGGGATCCCACCCTGTTCCCATTGGGCAGAGCATGCGTGCAGACTGAGGTCCTCGCATGTGGCGCGCCAGTTGAGCTGCCTGTAGGGCCCCAGAGTGTGGGACGACCGTGTCCCCCGTATATTGAATAGTTCTCTGCGTCGGCCCTGCCTGGATCCAGATGCTTCTTTGGGAGATTTCTGGGCAGAGTCGCGGTCTGCAGCTTTGAGGTCCAGCAGCGCGGCGAGGCATTTGCTTTGGAGTCGAGGCCCCAGGGCATCGCCTCAGCGGCGGCAGAAAACGACCAACTGGGTGCCGCACACGCCATGTAGTTCATGCCCATCTCTTCCTGCTGATTGGGCACTTTGCGTAGCTAGGCGAACCGTGAGATGATTTCGTTTGGTGGCGCGGGCTAAGCGTTCGATCTTGCGATGCATGAGCCCGTGATTGACCCATCTTTGTGTCCGCGTGGCTCTCGCATCGCGGACTCCCCATTCTGTGTCTATGCCTAGATGGCCGGCCTGGTGTCGAGGTTTTATCTTGGCATCATGTCGAGTCCGCGAGCGATGTGCCGTGCTTCGTCCATGTTGGAGCACATGATGGTGCTCTTCTTGGCGATGCCGAGTCCGCGTTCTCGCAGTACCGCGCATGTCTCGAGTAAGCATTTCAGTGGCCCACGTCGCATGGCACAATGGGATCCTTGCATCCTCTTGGATAGGCCGTCGATCCAAATCCGATGTGAGCATCTGGCGCGTGATTGGGTGGCTCTCTTCGGAGCGTGGAACATCGTGCATTTCGCGATTCGAGTGCCTGCTCGGAATCCCTGGGCCACCGAGCGCGCGGGTTGGAATGGTCTCGCGCAGTTGCCGATCTGACCCAAGACCTACTTGCGACGTATTGGAGGAGCTCCCGACCCAGGACCTCAGCAGGGAAGTACATGCCCAAGGCCTGGTTGCCGAGGCCGACCCATTCAATTGAATCGTAAAGCTGAGAAAGTTCGAGTAGCCCATGCCCCTGATTAAGTGGACGCATGCGGTGAGCTCTTCTTGCAGAGCCCTTTCGTAGGCCTCTCGCAAGGCCGAGTTTCCTCGTACTGCTGCGCCCCAGTGGGCAGCGCAACCTCGTTTCCACTCCTGGGCGGCGTCCCCACGGCACGTGTATCACAAGTGGGCTACCTCAGGGAGGAGTCCCATAATGCGGTCGCCGTTGTCTTTCGTCGCCGTCAGCACACCGATCGCCATGAGTAATTGATGTGGCCACATCTGCAAATTCGCCATGGCGTTTGACAAGACGTGCCAATTCCTCCAGAGCCTCCTGTGGGATCCGTAGCAGAAATAGTTTGCTCAAACGGTTAGCGCCAGGTCACGTGGATGACCGTTGGTGTTGGAAGGCCCGTCGTACATCATCTCCTGATAGCGGCGGCAACACATTGTCCTGAATGCGAGCTTGGATCCGTTCGAAGAGGTCTGTCATATTTGTGATATGTTTGCCCTCGGGGGCCCATGGCTGGCACCTGCTGGCTACCTTGTGGTCCAGCAGTTCCCAGGGGGGGACCAAGTGAATCGCCGATTAGCCGCGACTCTGCTTGGGCTGGCTGGGGCTTGAGACCTGTGGAGTGTGCGGAGGGCAGGAGACGTCTCCGCCCATTCTCTGAACTCGTGCATGGATCTGCAGACAGCTCGCCGTTGCGTTCGTCTAGCGTAGTTCCCTGCTGCGCCGGCGAAGTCCACGAGTGTCTCCGCAGGGGCGGCGCGAACAGCTCCGAGCATCTCCAGCCACCTCGGCCAGAGAAAGTCGCCCCTGTCGCGAATAGTGCTTGCAGCGCCTGAATGCGCCTGTTGTAATCGTCGACTCTTCGCTTCGCGTAGTCGATGGAGCTGCCGTCAGCCGTTGCCCCGAGCACGATGCCTGTAGGTGTGCTGCAATGTTGCGCGTAGCCATGTCCACCGCGATCTGCTCAGAACCCTCAGCATCGATGTGCGCTGGTGCTGGCTTCTCGCACCGTCGCAACGCGAAACTCGGGCTCATGTGACCGAGATCGTCCGAGGTGGTGCTGTTGATGGTCGCCGTGAATAGTTCCCTCACCAGCCAGGACCCAAAAACTGCACAGTCGTCCAATGCGCGTGGAGGTGTCAGGTTTAAGCCTAAAATCTACGGAGTGTGCAACTGCAGCAGCAGGGCAGCAGCAGTCGGGGTCCAGCATCCCCGTTTGTTCATGATGTTAATTCGAGAGATCGCTGGGGATGGAAAATGCCGGCTGCTGTCTGGCTGGGCTGCCTTGAGGGCCCTTGTTTGGCTTGTTCAAGTGGATTCCGACCCTTGGGCTTGAGGAGGTGACAGGGGAATCTCGCGCTGGGCTGAATTAGAACGCTCTAGTGCGGTTGCTCCGTGTGGAGCACTTCTTTCCTCGCTGGCCTCGGGTGGCTCTGACGCAGCTGGCGCGGCTGCAGCGAAGGTGGTAGCAGGCCTGAAAACAGTCTCCCTGGCCCAAGGATCATCCTCCTCGGACTCTTTGTTAAGCTGAGGGCTGAGGGCCTCGTTCCTCATCAGACGATTCACCTGCGTGGGTGGAAGCCGCGTCGTCGGTATTCCTCCAGAGGTCGCCTAACACAGCTTGAAAGCTTTTGTCCTGGAGATCCCGTCCCTTGGCGGCCTTCTCGGCCCGTTGGGCCATGGCCGCGCTGGATTTGCATCCTGGGGCGGGGCTTTGCGCGGGGCGACTGGCGGAAGGTAGTCGGCGGGGAAGCTTAATGGTCCTGGTGTGAAGCTGCTCGCCGGATCTTACGAACTGACTAATCAATGCTATGTGCGGCGTCCTTGGTACAGTATGGACGGGAGTGACTTGCTGTGCGTGCGGCTGGGGCGCGTAGCCATGCGCGATGTAGTCCAGGTGTGAGGCCGTCTTGTCTCCACCCGGGCCGCGCATGCATTGGGCATCGGTGAACCGGATGATGCCTCCGACCTCCGTCGAACATCTCGAGGCTCGCGGGGCCCGGGGAGGGATTTTCCAGTCCCTGCGGCAACCCAGAACATTTGGAGGGCCTTGATGCGGATCCCGAGACGCCTAAATCTAACTAGGCTGGGGCCTGTCAATGCTACACTGCAGATCCCATACATACTTATGACTACAAGTGAGTAGCCCCGGAGGAGGAGGGGGTAAGAGAGCAGGAAGCGGGAGTAGGAGGAGGCAGAAACAGGAGGACTAGGAGGAAGAGTAGGAGGGTAGGGGGAGGAGGGTTGCGAAAGGAGGAGGAAGGAGGCGGGAAGATGGAGATGAGGAAGGAGGAGGAAGGAAAGCGGGAGCATGGATGACGAAGGATGGTGAAAGGGAGGTATGATGAAAGGAGGAGGAGGAGGAGGGCCGCGTGGCGCAATCCAATTTCTGAGCAGCTGCACTCCGTATTACACATTGCACCAACCCGCAATCTGCAAACCATCGCTACATGACGGCGAAGAGGAGAGCGGTTCAAGGAGGGGGGAAAGGATAAGGCGAGGAAGGGGAGGAAGGAACTGAGTGAGTAAGAGAGGAGGAGGCGGTATATACAAACGACAAAGTGAGAGGAGGAAAGGAGAAGGATAGGGGAGGAGAGGAGGAGGAGGAGGAGGAGGAGGAGAAGGAGCAAGATGAGGGGAAGGAGCAAGAGGAGGAGGATGAGGAGGAGGAGGAGGGCGAAGCCAGGTCGGACTCCCCGAGCGACGTCGGAATCGCCTGCATCGTGGGTTCTGCCATTTTCAACGTGCTGTTCGTCATCGGTATGCCCACGCACATGGGCTCCCCTATCTCTAATGCCGCATACGGGCTGTGGCGGACTGTTTTTGGCGACGGTTCTTAGGGCAATGCCGCAGTCAGTTGAACCAGCGCATGCGTGCGGATGGACATGTCGTGACGGCCAGGCTTCAGGGACACATGATTTACGTGCATGGCGACATACTGGATGTGTTGTGTATCGTGCGTCTCGTGTCTTCTTGAGGAGCTACGTAGGGCTGTAATGCTTGATCGCGACATCGGATATATGCTACACGCGTACGAGAAACCATGCTCACCTCAGCTTATGCCGTTGAGTGAAGCAGTCTATCGTTTGTTATGGCGTTGCGTTGCTTTGATCTGAATGCATCATGTTTGTTGCTTGCCTTCCGGTGCAGTGCGCTGCGAAGTGTTCCGGTGCATTGCATTTGATTGTAAGCATTGCATCCCCATGGTCGTGATTGTTGAGCCATGTGTTGTGTAATGCATTGTGTTGTTTTGTTTCTGTCTGCATTGCGCTGCTTGCATCTGCGTTGCGTTACAATGAAGATCGTTACAATGCACTGCCCTGCCATGGTGCTTGAACGCGTTGCGTCGCATTGCAGTTCCATCCCACAGCGAAGCGATTCAAATGATCAGAGCATTATGACGCAAAGCAAATGCAAGTCAATGCGAACAGGTACATTGACGCACCAGGAAGTGTGTTGCATTGCAGATGCTATGCAAAGCAGCGCGATACGAAGCAATCCAATGCTCGGCAAGAGCATTACAACACAATGCAGTACAGTGCGGCTTGAAGCTCCACATATCAACGCATGCGCACATGCAATGTAATGAAATGGTGCCTGGCCGTGCGAAACGACGCAAACCAATGCAGTTCAAAGCAGGTCAAGGCAATGCACGATGCAAGTCAATGTATGATATTGCAAACCGCAGCTGTGCGATGCAAAGCCGCGCAATTGCAATGCTCAATGCGCTTGAAAGACATGCAATAACATCCAATCGGGCGCAAGGCACTGCACAGCAATGCCACGCAAAGCGATGCAGCACAAGTCCAACCAATGCACCAGACACCAAGCGCGTAATGCAAGGCAGTGTAATGCGAACCATTGCAGCTACATTGGTGCACACCGATGCGTCTGCAGATCAGCGGTGTCCAGACTCAACGCAATGCCATGCGACGCAAGTCAATGCAGTCCACTGCAATACAACGTAAGACGTAGCAAGGCACATTAATCGAGCCCGCGTAGCGGGCGCCACGGCGGCCCGCACATGTGGCAGTTTGGCAGATCCTGGGCCATCAGGAGGAGGACGATTGAGAGAGGCAGGGGGAGGCGACGAAGAAGGAGGACGACGAGAAGGAGTAGGATATGCCTCTTGTGTTTTTGTTGGTGGGCTTCTCGAGGGTTTTGTGGGTCCTGCCGTCTTGGGGCGCTCTTGGCCCCAGGGGTCCGGATAGACCCCCAAGAGGCACCCAAGATGCCCGAAGAGGCCCCCAAGAGGCCCAGGGGATGCGTCGCTACTTTGGACCCCTTGATCATAACCGCCCCCTTGAATAAACTGAATCCCGTCCCTTTCCTCGCGGCCTTACGATTCGCCTCCCCCTGTTTTGGGCACGCCTTACGAACCCGCATGCGACTGAATTTCATGATAATGGTGATGAGAATAAGGGCGGCGGCACAGGCGATGGCGACAATGTTGATCGTCATGATAATGTTTGCGGGTACGGTGACAGTCAGTTCGAATGCCAAGAAGATTGCCGACCAGCCTCCAGGATGGAGGATTATTATGTTTTGCATGGCCATATTTACCGATAGGGATAGTGTTGGCAACGACATGTATGTGCTCTGGCGGAGAGGAGGGACCGCGCTGGCGTCGCCCGCGCAGGCATGTGCGGCATCTTCGCAAAGGACAGACTACTGCTCACGGCGCGCCAGCGGCGTTGAAGCAGGGGGCCGTTTCCTTCGTATCGTAGGCTTCCAAGATGGGGTTCGAGCAGTTGGGGTCTGAGGATCGCGCCGCATCGCCGATGTACCGGCGATGCGGCTCGATCTGGAGCCCGGTGTTCTCCGTGCCGACGTCGTTGATGCATCGGATGCGGCGCGATCATCCGACCCCATCTACTTGGACCCCATCAATTGTGTTGTTCAAATTTCGCCGAGAGTTTTCAAACCGGGTGTACCAATGCTCCCTATCGGCCTTTTGTGGGCTAAGTTCAGGCCCAGAGCCGAGCCCACACACATAATGGTACAGGATACGCCCTGTCACGGAGTGGGGCTCTTCCCCCATCGTCGGTCACAATTTCGCAGGATGAGAGGCGTATGAGTACAAGTGCCGCGTAGTTTTGGTAAGGTAGAGTCTGTCACCACCCACCAAACCACCCCAACCCAACCCGAAGGCTCAAATTTACCCTCGATTTCCAGTGGGGGGGGGGTCGGGAAACATCGAAAAAACACATGTGGAACCCTTTACCCCCCCCAACCCGAAATTCGGGTCTTCGGGTTGGGTTGGGGAAGTCTGGTAGGTCGTCAGTCTGGTCTGGAATCGTTTTGCAAGGAGGTGAGCGGTCTGGGGTGTGGGCCCAGCTGGGAGGGTCCCCCCCGGGGAAGGGGGTCTGTGACGGTTCGTCTCCAGGGTTTCTGACCATCCCTCTCTGACGGAATGAAGCATGCAATTTAGCATTGCATGAACAGTCAGCCGTTCCGCCAAGACCGATTGCCCTTCACAAGGTTTTGAGAGCTTCTCCCAATCTCCCTGGGGGATGCCCAGGCGGCTGCCTTCCACTCTTCCATCCTTCGGGGACGTCCAGGAGGGGGATTATGACTAAGGAGAGGGGGGATAGCATGGCCGGGACCTTGATATCTCCCTGGGTTTTATGGCCCCTCTCCCTTCCGCGCACATGCCTCGAGCCATGATGTGCTCATTTCCCTTTGATTGCCCTCCTTTTGGACGCCCCCGAGATTCCTGGGCGGCCTTTTCCCCTGCTCCATCATCCGCCACCCTCCTCATTATCCTCTTCCTCCTCGTCGGGGTGCTCGATCAAGCGGCCCTCGACAAGACTCCAGCTCTCGCGCAGGAGACCTGCGTAGGCCCTCCTCTTCCTCCCCCTCCATCCTCCTTCTCTGGCGTGGGTTGACACCCCTCCACTACCACCACCCTCCTCTGCCTGCAGGCCCCTTTTCCTCCTATTCCTCCCCCTCATCAAGCGGTCAAGCGCTCACCAAGTCCAGGTTGACCATCTGCCTTGCCTGAGCGAGATATGCCACAACTGGAAAGCCTGGCCTCATGAGAGCGTTCCCGCGTCCTTCAAAGCTCCAAGTATTGTGATGAGGGTGTGAGGGCCAACGAAGACTTCTGCCTTCCTCCCCTACGTTCTCCCCTTCCTTCCTCTTGCGCGCCTGGGCACAGACCCGTGTGGCCGGGGGGCCTCCAGAGGCGTACCCCCTAGCGCGCGACTCGGCCTTCTACATCGTGGACCTCGCGGTGCTGGTGGTCTGCTTCTACGACCAGGTGATAGAGTGGTACGAGGCCCCTTTCCCGAGGGGCAGTGTTGAAGGAGATAGGCCGGGGGGGATGCATCGATAGTAGCTCCCGCCCACTTTGCGCAGGACCCGCCGCCGATGTTGCCGCAGACGGTGTCACGTTCGAGGCAGAGAGTCGCCTGCACGCCAGCGACTGCTGTTGGGTTTGGACAACATTTGCTGTTGGGTGGGGGCGTTCGTGGAGGAGTGTGCCCAGGAGGATCCAGACCTGGGCTTCCTTCTCCAAGGGTTGTGTCTCGGGGGCCCCCAAAATGGGTGGTGACCACACCGTGTGGTGAGTCGGTGGGGGTTTGGGGTCACCGCACGGTTTTGGGACTTGGGTCGTTTTCCGAGGATGTCTCGGGCGGTTGGGGCCTCCAGGGTCCCAAAACCGTGAGGTGACGGACCATGTGGTGAGGTCTTTGCGGATTTCGAGGTCGCCGCCAGGTCTGTCACCACACGTTTGGGGACACCAAAGAGTCTCTAATGCCCTCACCGCATTCAGAACTTCCTGATAAAAGGGTCGGGGCCACAAACCTCCCATCCGAGCCATCTCCGACCCCCTCCCCCCCACAGACCAGTCATGAAAACACGGCCTTGATCCCAGACCCCTCCTGGAACATTCCAGGACGGCTCAAATCAGAAACCCCCAAATCGGACCTCTCCCTTTAAACCAAACCAAAGAGTCAGACCCCCCAGAAATCAGAACTCCCGAATCCCCCCCCCCTTTTTTGCCATGCAATCCGGAGTACCGGTGCTCGTATTTCGCGCCGTGCCCCCAGGGCTGACGGCCCAACCCAGCGTCTTTTTGGCGCAGCGGCGCAGGCGGCTCGGGGGCAACGCTATAGGGGGAGGGGGCTCCGGGCTCGAGGCTTTTGTTGGTCGTTCTCGTCAGTTCTTCGGCGGCCTCCCAGCCTCGGAATGCCTTCCGGCGGCTGCGCCTCGCCGAGGGCGTTTTGGGTCGGCGCTGGTTGTTCAGGGGCAACGCTAGTGGTTGAGTTGCATCTTCGGGGTGCCTCGTCTGTCCCCAAAGTTGGTGTCTTTTCCTGTGCCCGATGCGGACTCGACGCGGACTTGGAGTGGATTCGACGTCGATTCGAGGTGGAATTGACGCGGATTCGGCGTGTCCGACATGGAGTCGACACGGATTCGACGCGATTAGGAGCGCGACGGCACAGACACAGTCCCCCGAAGATGCAACACAACATAGGAGGGTCAGAGTTAGAGGCTCCTGAGCGTTTTCGTCGGTTCTCAGCGGTTTCCCATCCTCGGGATGCCCCTCTGGCAGCTGCGCCTCGCCGCGAGCGTTCATGGGCGGCCCTGGTGGTTCAGGGGAAACATTGGGAGGTTCGGGGTTCGAGCCTTTGGGCGGTTTCGTCGCTTCTTGGCGACTTCCCAAGCTCGGGATGCCTCCGCAGCTGCGCCTCGGCGAGATTGAGCGCTTCCGGGCGGCAACTTTGAGGGGTTCCGGGTTCGAGGCCTCTGGGTGGTTTCGTCGCTTCTGGGCGGCGCCCCAGCCTCGGGATGCCACTCTGGCAGCTGCGCCTCGCCGAGAGCATTCCAGGGCGGCGCTGGTGGTTCAGAGGCAGCGCTGGGAGGGTCGGGGTTCGAGCTTCTGGGCGGTTTCGTCGCTTCTCGGCGACCTTCCAGCCTCGGGATGCCCTCCAGCAGCTGCGCCTCGCCGAGATTGAGCGTTTCCGGGCGGGCAGCGTTGGGGGGGTCGGGGTTCGAGGCTTCTGGGTGTTTTCGTCGCTTCTCGGCGGCTTCCCAGCCTGTTGGATGCCTTCCCACAGCTGCGCCTCGCCGCGAGCGTTCCGGGGGTGCTCGGTTCGCTCTGAACGGCCGTCAGAGAGCCGAGCGATGACGCGCAAGCCAGGGGGCAACGCTCGGGGGGATAGGCTTAAGTCGGCCCTGTCCCCCTGCAGGGAGATGTTCGACGAAAAATAAAAAGTACCCCCAAGAATAGTCAAACAATAGTCCAAAGATAGTCTGGGGACTATTCTTGGGGTACTTTTGGATATGTTGGGGTATTTTGGGGGTATTTTTATTTTTCCTCGAAAATCCCCCTGTAGCGGGACATGCCCGACATCAGGATAGGCTCAGGGGGGATGCACCAGCCCTCGGCCGCCCACCCATCGCCGGCGGGGGCCCGATGGTGCATCCTGCCCAGGGTCGTGCGGCTTTGCCATACGGGGCCGGTCGCCGGTCCATCGGCGAAGTTCACCACCCACCAAACCACCCCAACCCAACCCGAAGGCCCAAATTTATCCTCGATTTCCAGGGAGGGGGGGTCGGGGAACGTTGAAAAAAACATGGTATCCGTACCCCCCCAACCCGAAATTCGGGTCAAATTCGGGTCTTCGGGTTGGGTTGGGGTGGTCTGGTAGGTAGTCAGAAGTTTTGCCAATTCTTCGGGAGGATCGAGATGGGCGCGGAAAGAATGGGCACGATGCCCAAGAGCAGTTCCTGTTCACTCTGAACAGGACTCGCTGGCCGCGCCGCCGCGGACGCTGCTCTCTGAAAACAGGAAGCCGCCCGCCCAACAGAGGCCGCTGTTGGTTTTGGACAACATGTGTTGCTTTGGCAGTGTACCTTGTTTTCCGTTCCCATTTTGGGCGTCCGAAATTCCAGGTCAATGTTCACCCCTGGCTCTGGCCCCGCCTGTCGTCCCCCCTCACTCGTGGCCGGCAGCGGCCGTCGCCGCGCTGTTGCGGCCGCCTACGGGGTGGGCTGGAGCACGACCGAGGTTCGAGGTCAGAGACCCGAACTTTGATTCAAAAGGCTGACCAATCGGTCGTTGAAGTAGGTATTTGTGGATTCCCATATTCCAATCTACTTTAAGCGCCTTCCTACTTAAATGACCGAGTAGCTTCACCTATTCCGTCTTCTTTAGGGGGCGGGCGTACACCCAATATATTTTCAACGCCTTCCTGCATCATGTTTCTACTTACTTATTCCGGCCGATGGCCACGCCATCCCGCCGACAAGGAGTCATCGTTTTGCCATTCGTCTGAGCCTCGTTGAAGCTTTCGTTTTCAGTCCAGTGGCCTTCGGCAAATGACGCCACCGTGCCTGGCTTGTGAGCCAGCCAGAAGCTTCCCTGCAGGCCAATAGGGTCTCTTGAGAAGCCTCTGGGAGCTTCTTGTAGGCAGTTATGATGCCTCTGCAGGACCGTTTGGGGGCCTCTTATGCGCCTCTTGGGGCTTTTTGGATGTCTCTTGGGCGCCTGCTGGCGGTCTCGGGTTTCCTCTTGGGGCAGAGGGCTCGAAATTTCAATTCAACTTCCCTTCTTGGGACCCTCTAGAGGCCTTGCGGGGCCTTCTTGGGCGTCTTCGGGGCCGTCTTGGGCCTTTTGGTCAGTTTTTGACCCTGTTGAACCAAGGAGAACATGCTAACAATCATTTTTTTTCGTTGGCATTGAGAAGTCGTTTGCCCCTTGGGGCCCGTCTTGGTGCTTCTCTCTTCGGGCGTCTTGGAGGCTTCTTGGGCCGTCGTGAGGCTACCTTGGGTGTGTTTGATGCCTCCTCGGCATGATGGAGCCCAGCCTGTGCAAACTGTGATGGAATATTGGCCATCTTGGAGGCCACGGAGTGAAGACTTGGAGGGTCTGGATGCCCAGGGGGGTGCGCTGGGTAGCCCGGAGACCCACCCCTTACCCCCCGCGGATCCCCCCCCCGGGCCTCCCCCAATTCTACTTGGATTTTGGAGCCTGGGTGAGGGGGACAGGGAGAGGGGACAGCCAAACGCCTCACGCGCCCTGTCGCCCCTTGCGAACGGGGGGTTGGCGGATTGGAAGGAAGGATGATGAACCCGTCCCCGAAGAGGGGGCAGCGAAAGCTCGTTTTTACAATGCGGGCGCGGCCGTAAGGAACCCTCGCCAGAAGCCCAGCCCTGAAAAGTCCGCGGGCGAGGTGCACCCGATTGGGAAACCCACAGCACCCCGAGCGCAGCAGCTCCTTCAACGTTTTGTGTGAAAGTCGCCGCGCCGCTCGTGGAGCGAGGAAAACATATGGCTCAAGCACACGGCGATGAGCACATGGCTTCTTGATGCGCGCCCCGGCTGCACGGCAGGTTCGTGTCGTGTCGACCGACGGCGGCCCCGCCGCCAGCGTTCACCGTTGAACGCCGCCAGCGATCCAGAATCGGTCGTTGTTGAACGATCTGACTTTTTAGAAACGGCCGATCGTTCAAGGTTGAGCCATCCCCACGGCGTCAGGAACCAACGCCGGGGTCGACACGACACGAAGCCGCGGAACGGCCTCCGTGCCACCTCCGCCCAGAGCGCTGGTGGGATGTCAGAATGGTGTCGCATTTCTCGGCGCGGATGGAGGGCGCCTCCCTCTCGAGAGGACGGCGTTCCCGTTTTTTCTGGGAGGCCCGCAGTCTTAATAAGGACCATGACGTGGCATGCTGCAACGCCTGCACGGGATGGAGGGCACATCCTCTTCTACATGTTCAGGCGATCGCGACAATGGGTCAAGGAGGCGTGGATTAGCGCCGGGTCCCGCTTCCATGGGAAATCACGGATTTCCGACGCCAGACAAGGCGGCACCGGCCGCATTTTGGGGAGGGCACCTCCCCCGATCCATGGATTTGGCGACCGCGCGCCAAATACATGGATCGCCAATTCATGTTTGCGCGCCCCCGAATTGTGGCGGTCGTGTCATACCTCCCTAAAGATTATCATCGTAGTTCGTTGGGTGGTTATGCGAGTGGCCACGCAAGAACCCACCGTATCCGTAAGTTACGGCACAATTTTGAACATGATCGTGTTTGTTGTCGTTGTTGGTTGGTGGCGGTGTTGTTGTTGGTGTTGGTTTTGTTGTTGTTGCTGTTGTTGGGGATGTTATTGTTGTTGCTATTAACCGTATTATTAACATGATTGAATATTCATTCTTCGAGAATAATTATGGTTGACCTCCGGAAACGGTTCCGCGCTCTCTCGCCTCGACGCCGGCTACATACTCTCTGAAAACGAGGCTCCCGCGCGAGCGTTGGCTTGAGTGC